AGATATTCCTCACGTGAATATCACTTGATACTCGTATTCAAACCCGCATTTCCTGTTCAGGAACGGAGTCGCCATTTCTACTTTGAGTTCCGGAGTCAAGAATTCTCAAGATCGTAAAGATTTATAGAAGAGAGGTTTCTCTGCGGATTATATTGAAAGCAAGCAAGTCGATCAACTCAACCAACTCGTCGTCAAAAGGAGATCTCTTCATTGAGCCCTTCGAATACCGAATATCTACTTCTCGTTCAACTCACTTGAAGTATATCACCACCTACATACTATCCCCTCAAACACAACTCCACTCAACAAACAACGCACCAGAATGTCTGCCCCCGAAACCCTTCCCGTCATCGCCCGTCACCTCCTCCGCTACAACCAATCCATCCTCTCCAAAACGCACTTCCAAAGCACCGCCAAAAACCTCTACCACCAAACCTCCAGCGTCAAGGCGTTTGCGAGCTCCGAGGGCGTGCGCGGAAACGCTCGAAACAGGTATGATGTGCATGGAAATGGGTATTTCACGCATGGAAAACGGGATGGCATCGCAGCAGCAAATATGGAGATGCTTGGGGTGAGAGGATTTGGGACGGGAGCCATGGGGGAGCGAGCGCATGTGTCGATTTCGGCGAGGATTGCGGCGAGTAAGGGGGATCGCGAGAGGATCCTGAAGAGTATTGTGAGGGCGAGGGAGAGGAGGGGAGTGTTGGGTGAGGGGAGGATAGAGGAGGGGAGAATCTGGGAGGAACAGGTTTATCCACCTGTTAATGGGTGGTTGGTTTGAGGAGTGAATGGCTGATGCGGTAGATTCATGGGATATGTTGGGGATGGGAGGAGGAGGAACGGATGCTGGATGCTGGATGTTGGGTGCTTACCAGAAGATATGCATCTCCTGGAGAAAAGTGATGCTTGAAAGACGGATATCAGGCGATCGGTGTGATATGAAGCAATATGACTTCAACACCCACACAAAAGACCTCAAGGCGGAAACGAGGAGGTTGGAGGCGGCCATTCATTCATTCATTTACTCACTCATTCACTCATTTATTCATCACATTTCTCCCGAGGGAAAATGGGGGTTTGATCTTGATTGTTTTTGGATCATCTTATTTATCTTCTTTTTCTTCTTCTTTTATGGTATGGTATGGTATGGATGTATGAGTTATGCTTATACACTTCCATACCACCTATCTACTATCCACACTCATTCACACAACCAGATTGTTCCAAGAGTGTTTGAAAGAAAGCAAGAGAGAAAGGAAGCAAGAAGAGAAGAAAGATAGATAGAGAAATAGGAGAGACCATTGAGTCCGAGACGAATTTCGAAATTTCGCTTCTTACGCATTATGATGAATGGAGTTTTGGGAATTTTTCTTCTTCTGGGATGGGGATTGGCATAGAGACATTGAAATGGATACAGATACAGATACAGATACAGATAGGAATACAAGGAACCAGATAAAATTAGAATGATACATCGTGTTCTCACTCCTACTTCTATCCTCAAATTTAAATATCCCATTGCGAAAAATTTCTACTATGGATTCCGCATTATCGCATCCTTGTGTTTCTCGCTCTGTTATACTGAGTTGATAAATTGATGATTAAATAGATAAATAAATACGGCAAATTACTCTCATGCCCTAAAATTAGAAGCTAATTTACTCTCATGCTCCTTAGATTCTATAATAGATTCTATGATAGAATCTATTCATTTTAGGTTAGATTCTAGCTATTTTAAGCTAGATTCTGTATAAGAAGTACAGATTCTATATAAGAAGTATAGATTCTATATAAGGAGTATAAACAAAGTAGCTAGAATCTACCCTCCTTTTATAGAATCTACTCCTCTATCATAGAATCTAACCTAAAATAGCTAGAATATATTCTCCTCCTATAGAATCTATCCTTTCCTCAATATAAAATCTAGTCTGAAATGGATAGATTCTATGATAGAATCTAAAGGGCATAAGAGTAAAACAAGTGTGATTTTTAGAGCATGAGATTAATTAAATGACATTTCGGGGGCATGAGAGTAATTTGACGAAATAAATAATAACTAACTTCGTATCGAATGTAGATAGATAGATAGATAGTTAAATTATAACTGCCTTTGTATCGAATAACTTCAATCACTCACTTACTAATATAGCAACTCCAGCTATTTATAATATATTATAACGACATAGAAGTATGGAGTTTCAAGCCAGGTATGGAGAAATTTATTAATTGTGAGTTTAACTAGTAAGGAATAAACAAATAAATAGATAGATAGACAAATAGACAAAAAATAAATAAACAAATAGATAATTAATAGATAATCAAATATATATAATCTGTAATTACATAAATAGATATATCTATATACTATCCCCTAAGTTTAAGAAATAATCTCAACTTTCAGCTTCCTTCTTTCATTTGAAAAAGTAGAATTTAGACTTTGAAAGAGTATAAGAGTTCGACGGAAGGGAGGATTTCTAGGTACTTGTTTGTAGGGTTTATTTTATATATATATATGCTAGGTAGGTAGGTAGGTAATTTATCGTATGATATAGAGATAGAATAGGATGATCGGTAGATTGAAGCTACAATCTATAGTATGATATAAGATGAGATGAGATGGTATGAGATGGTATGGCATCAGGTGAGATGAGGTGATGAGATACCTATCTATATATATAGAGGGAGGTGATATATGATATGATATAATATAACATAATATCCATAAAGAGGTACTAGAAGTAATCAACGGATCTGTTTTTCTGGGTAAATTTGTGGATAGATTTTAGAGATGAATATCTATAGATGCCAAGATTATCTATATAAAGAGAGAAAATTAGGGATGAAGGTGATCTCTGATTTAGATTTTGGTTAAGCTTGATTTATTTGTTTATTTGGATTTGTGTATGTATCTAAGTGGGAATAGTTTGGTAGATGAGTGTGTTACTTTTCTAATTACCGTCAAGGAGAGTACCTAGACTACCAGAGTAATAATTCAGAAATTATCATCTCAACTTTGAGATAGTTGGGTTATGTCCACACGCGGTTGAACTATGGAATCAATAACATAAGAAAATAGGTAATCACTGTTCAAGAGTCACATTAATCCAGGTTCGAAAATGATTAAAGTAATTGATAGATTCCTGGTATCGAGTAGTACTTTTCTTCTCGATATTGAGTATCTCATGAAGAGCCCGCCTCCTGTACTCCCGCCCAAACCCAACGCTGTTTGAAACTTTTCCTCTTTACATTATTATGCACAAGGTCTAGATTATTGCTCCTGCTGTACCTCTAACCTTACTTATCTTATGGATGGGGAGTCAAAGATTGTATAGGTTTATTTACTGCCACCGATGTGATTTCTCGCTTTCATCATCGAACGGGACTTCAGATATTTCCCTATGTGTACGTCTCCAAATTCGCTTAATGGTGGACGTACTGCGCTCGAATCCTCTGTCCCCTTAATCATGCTGCAATCATTCCAGCTTTCGGAGTGTATGTTGCAAAACCGTTTGGATGCCTGAATCTAATTCGGGTAATGCTATGATTGCCTCAATCCATGCTCTTGTTTTCAGTGACAATTGAGTTTTATCATTAGTATTTTCCAAGGATTCCTTAAGACGATTTAGTGCAGATCCAATGGCGACTGCAAATTCGGGAGAGGTATGATCGATGCCAATTAATGGTTGACGAATATAACAATTGCATGTTGCGGGATCCTTAGGATATGATTCCAACATACTGTCCAAAACGTGTTGAAGAATTTTAGGAAGACATTTTACTTGAGTAAATGCTGCGAACATGTCGAAAAATCCTTCTGCTGCGACTGATGAATAGAATGCTTGCTTTTTAGCGACGTCAAAGATAGCGAGTGGAATTGCGCCATTGAGAGCTGGTGTAGTCATTGGATCTTTAGCGGCCTCGGAATCTACTCCTACTCTTGCCATCATGCTTGGTTGCATTGTGTTATCCTTGAAATCCGGAATTGCGATCACATCCTGCGAGGTTGTGAATCCAGATTCTTCCGGTGTTTCTTCGATTTCTTTCGGAGCTTCGATAGTCCTATCAACATCCAGACCAAGAATCCTCCTACGTATAGCAATCTTTGCCAGATAGATCATCTCCAATTTCGCATATTCGATCCATAAGTCCTTACTTCTAGTACAGAATCGAGTTCCCCTCTGCATGTAACTTCTTGCCTCATTCATATCTGCATCTAATTCTAACGCCCATTTGGCCGCATAGAGCCACAATTCCGGGTTGGTAGGATGTAATCGAATTGCCGCTGTCAACACCGTCTTGAATTTCTTCGTCGCTTTGGCTTTCCTCGTATATTCCAAATATGACATCCATAATGCGACGTCCCCAGCATGTTTCTTTACACCTCTATCAAATATACCGAATACGCGTGCTTGACCGGCATGCGATGAGCTCCCTTTTATGCGCATTCGTTTACATCTTTTTTGACGAAGTTGCTCCAGACTCATTTCCCATGCGGCATATCGAGCAAAATCAACGGCTTTTGAACCTCTCACTAAGACTCTGTGTTCGAAATCGGACCGCTTTTTAACTAGTGTTTTAATCTCATCCTGAATACATTTTTTTGGTTAGTAGTTGATCGCATAAGACGAAAACGACATGTAAAATGTAGAGAAGTAGGAAAACGAACCTTTGTGAATATTTTCTTTTGTTCCAATTCTTGCAATTGAGGAACACCTTGTTCAAGATAGAATCTTGCTTTATCGTTTGCGCCCGACATTGTTGAACTATATTATGTGAATATTGATTTTTACGATGATTCTCTGGACTTTTCTTTACCTTGGGGAAATCTTCAGAAATTCTTTGGGCGGTGAACAATCGCAGAAATTATGCCGATCCGTTTGAGCCTAGTAGATGAAGACGGAATATCAAAAGTCCGAGTCCCCGGCCAACAAGGATTACCATCATCCGTGTCATATTTTACGTTTTACGTGTTTACCCAGCCCCAGCGAGCCCAGGTACACTTTGAACTCTACGCGCCACGAGTTTTTTCGAATTGAACAGCTTTTTGATCGGGTTCCACCTTAACAATTTAAAATCCCACGAGACGTCACGGAGCTTTCGGAGAAGGCTGAGAATTTACCTTGTAAGTCCACCCAAGCCAGGTCTATTGGAGGGGAAAATCCAGTATCAATCGACTTGCACGAATTGCATGACTTTCACGGCTTTTACGGCTTTCACGGCTATCTCAAAAGGCTTCAAAAGGCTTGGTCTCCAACAACTCATCTCATCTCAAATAAACGCGTGCCCACTTGTACCTTACATTGGTCCCCATTTGTGATTACCATCCCATCTCAATTTTTTCTTCCCTCTTTCCTCTTTTATATCTCCGGATGCTACGGACTACACTCATTTGGATGTGAATATTTCATATACAAAGTGATTAGAATCACAGATGGCACCTAAATTTAAGGACGGCGACACTGTACTCGCTTTCTCAGGTAAATGGGTGTCATGGACTCATACCGCAGTCGCATATGGTAAGAGCAAACGAATCTTTGGTTTTACCCTTGTTTATGTTGAAGTTACTTACAATTTATCAATAGCTGCTTTTCTCAGCGCACTCATTGTTGGAGTTTCACTCCATTATCACAAAATCGTTCAAAATGAATATTATGGTTATCCGGATGAATGGTTCCCTTCAGTTTCGGCGACAATTGGAGATCGATACCCGGAACGTTCGTTTTTCATGGTCTTCATAGCTATTACATCTGGTATGTGGCAGAAATCATGGTTTGGGAGCTATATGAAGCTTGTCTAACATCTCTTCCAGGTCCTAGATTTGCTCTCGTTGGATTATGGTACCTTCTTACTGCACGACCCAATTCAAAGTTGCCCAAGTTCGTTGCTTTCGCAGGCGTTTTCCGTACTCTTACATGTGGTGGTTGGACTTATGTTACCTCTACGGACGATCACGATTGGCATGACATTTTTATGATTTCATATTTGGTGGCTACTTTGCCATGGACTTTAGGATGTCTAGCTTTGAGCCCAGATAATGCACGAGCTGTTAAATATCGAAAATATCTCGCGGGATCTTTCTTTGGAACTTTGGTACCTTTGGTTTATTTTTTTATACAACACAAAGTTCACAGAGTCGCTGGGGGTAAGATTACTATCAAATCAGGTATCAAATTCTCAACTAATGGAACATTTAGCATATACGGCATACGCTTTCTTCGAATGGGCTTTGATTTTGTTTGATGTGGCTTTCGATGCTGTTACAGCTCTCGATTTTGAAACTTTCGAATTAGTTGTGAAGGATGTTAAGGGTCAGACTAAGGGGTACGTCCATTGGCTTCCGAAATAGTGTATAACATTTTTGTTGAATGTAACATCATTATGAGCACGTCTAAAATCTATATCATTATTTAGAAAAGAAAAGATGATAGTCGATAAAGTCTTTGAGAAAGAGTTTGTGATATCTAATCCCTTTCTGAGAAAAATCTTTAGCTAATCGGTAAGTAGAAAAGAAAAGGAAGTTGGCCAACTATTCGGCCAATCTTTCTCATGGCCCGAAGCTTTCGATGCAGCAGCTGATGTCTATAATGGCGTAAGTATTGATTTTAATTGTCTGGGAGACTTTCACTGAGGTTTATGTAGTTCGTATTCTGGTCAATGTTGACTTCTTTGGGCATAGTCGTATGGTGTAAGTATCCGAAAAAGTGATTGAGATGAAGCTCGCTAATTTTGTCAGATTTTCCTCTGTGGCACATGGGTATCTCAGGCTATGAAGTTATGGTTATGTGTACCATTTCTCCATTGTTCTTAGGAATTAGATCGGTTCGAGCATTGGTTGTGAAAAATCTTCGGGCATGTCATCTCATGTCTTTGATTGGCTTATGTGCCTATCAAATCACGAGCCCAGCGCCTAGACTTTTTGTCGTTGGTTTTGGCCTCTGGATGTCATGTTTATCTTGGGCAGCTGCTTGGTACGCATCAGCGGGGCAGCCTGGTCGTCTCGAATCGAAAATTTCAGCATGGACCATTGGTCTCATTACATCAAGTGTTGTCAAGTTTGCATTTCACACCAATAATCCTATCTGGCCTATTGCGCATGCTGAAAATGGTGGTTTAAATGGTTATGGTCTCATCATTGCCATTCTAGCTGTTTTACGATCCACACGACCAAGTCAAAGTTTGATCACTGGAGATCAACTTTCAGTTCAAAGCCGTAAGGAAGGGCCATCTCTTCTTGCTGGCCTTGGTATTGGAGGTCTTTTCTTTGGGTTACATTCCTTGCTATCCGATTCCAGCACAATGATTCTTTGGGTCTGGGAAGGATATCCTGTTCGTGGTCCAATCTCAGCGCCTCACGGTGCCTGGACCATTGCTGCAATGGGAGTTGGCCTCATTCTCGGATTATTCAATGAATCTCTAGCTCGTAGCTGGACATTGTATGGTGTTGGATGTGTAGGTGCTGCCATGCTTACCTTATACACTCATTGGAAAGGGTATTATGGTGCCTTGGTTTTGACTGTCTATCTCATGGCTGTATCTGTTCCGTTATTGGGATCAGCTGCCAGAAAGAGCCCGGCTAAAGCATTTGGAATTGGTTTCCTCGTATACAACTTCATGGTATTATTTCATGTTTGGGTTGTAGCTTATGCCTTCGTTCCAGGTGGCCCTCTTGTTAGGGAACACACAGACTGGGTCATGACTGTTACTATGTTGTTGATTGGTTGTGGTGTTTTCGCTACATTTTCATCCACTCCTGCAGCACAACGAAAACGATTCAATGTTTTCTTGAATCAACGAAAGCAACGTTTGTACTACCTCTATATAATCGCAGCTCTCCAACTTACTTCTATCTCGACAGCATATATGCGTTTCCCAACGTATGATTATGTTCCTTACCATAAAGAGGAGAAGATTTTCACAGCAGGCATTTGGACTATTCACTTCAGTCTAGACAATGATATGTGGTCATCCGAATATCGTATGAGAGATGTAATCAAAGAATTAGAAATCGATGTCATTGGTCTTCTCGAATCGGATCTTCAGCGTATTATCATGGGCAACCGTGATACAACTCAATTCCTCGCAGAAGATCTCGGCATGTATGTTGATTACGGACCAGGTCCTAACAAACACACTTGGGGTTGTGCATTACTCTCAAAATTTCCAATTCTCAATTCTACCCACCACCTACTTCCATCACCTGTAGGAGAATTAGCCCCTGCAATCGCCGCTACCCTAGACGTTTACGGAAGTCCAGTGGACGTCTTCGTCTTCCATTCAGGTCAAGAGGAAGATCCTGAAGATCGAAGACTTCAATCCGAATACTTGGCTGACTTAATGGGTGCTTCTACAAACCCATCTATCCTCCTCTCTTACCTTGTCACTAAACCTCTGGAAGGGAATTACAATACTTATGTATCTGAAAGATCCGGTATGCATGATATTGATCCAAGTGATTGGGATAGATGGTGCGAATATATCCTTTATAAGGGGTTAAGAAGATCTGCATATGCAAGAGTTTCCAGAAGTACGATTACGGATACGGAGATTCAAGTGGGAAAATTCTTGGTCGGAGAACCAGAGGGAGAGAGTGATGAGGTGAGGAATAGAAGAGTGGATGAAGGGGATGTGAGTCAAGGAAAGAGATTCCCACAATTATTTAGAGGAGAGGGGGTGAGGGGACATAGATATCATGTTTTTGATGAGCCAAGATATTATGGTTAGGTTAGGATTTGGAATGAACTTGGGAATGATTGAATGAATGAACGGACGGAGGTGCATTTGTGCACATTTAATATATCTTCTATCTTCTAATTTTCCCTTAATTTTCCCTCTTTTTGCGTGGGGTTCTTTTCTTTTCATTCCAAGTCATCATCGTGTCATCATCACATCTTTGTCATGTCATGGGCGGAAAACGGAAAATAAATACCCAACTGTGCCATTCTTCTATACGTTACGAAATGATATTCAATGAATTAGAGGTGGAATGGGACGGAGCGGGAAAATTCTAGTGTAAATTCAGAGGGCCTCAACTCTTACATAACATGAGATGAGATGAGGTGGTGTACACCTCTTGGAATTCAGTGAAGTTGAGTTGAGTTGAAGTAAGATCTTCGAATGAATGAATCAATGAAAAAACAAATAAATAAGAAGCTTCCATAGGATTGGATGAATTCTTTGCTATCTAGCTGTTTAGTATCTAATTACCTAGCTATTATATCATTTCCTTACTCACGGGTCGCTAATCTGACTATATATTTCGCTTATTACGGGAATTTTACAGAATCTCGAATGCACTCATTTTGATATCTTAGATGTTGATGGGATTATTAGTATGAGGTATTTTTCTCGCCTTGGTTGATTGAGATGTGAATGCATGGATGAATGAAGGAAGGAGGGAAGGAAGGAGGGAAGGAAGGAAGGAAGGAAGGAAGGAAGGAATGCCTATAATCAATAAGATATATCTCAGACGCCACGATACCTTTGACATTTTTATCTCACTCATTTATCTGCTCATGCTACGAGGTGTCAAAGTATTTGAACACTCGAAAGCTTGATAGAGAATGGGTGGTGGGTTTTATAGAGTTGGTATTTGTTATATGTGTATGTGTATGTGTATGTGAGTATGTAATGATATATCGTAAGTTGATATATTGACAAACTCGGGTTGAGTCAAACATCGATCTATATCTACATAGTAATACTCGTACTAAAGCTTATCATCAAGTTACTTTATAATATTATGAAGTGAGTATATCTATCTATTTATTTATCTTTTTTTATTTACTAAAAAACGGGTTCTTCCCTTGATGTCTTGATCTCTAAGATTGTCTGGCTGAGAATGTTAGGGTTAGTAATGGGGTTGGATTTGTGTTTAGATTTCTTCGTATTGTATTGTATTATGTTATATTATTTTATACTAAATCATTCATATACTCTAAATATAATCTCAAAATACCTACCTACCTACCTACCTATCGCATCACATCACATCATACCACATCATACCACGTTACATCACACTATACACATCCAATTCGTTCATTTCTTCCCTTTCCTTCTCCTTCCACCTTCACCCCCCTTTCCACACCCTCTAAGAATTTCCTCGCTTATCACATCCATCTATTCATCTATTCATTCATCTATTCACCCATACAACAAAACAATAAAAAGCAATATAACCCCTCCAGTTTATCTCTCAAATCTGATTTGAGTGTAAGATCTGACTTGTATATCAACATAACAAGAATGATTTCTTTGAAGTTTTATTAGTAGGAAGTTTTGTGATCGAGGTTTAGCTTGAGAAGTAGAGAGAGAAAGAGGGAGAAAGAGTAAGAAGAAAGAATTAGGAAGGAAGAAGTAGTGTTTTATTTAAATGCTTTGGTAAGTACGGTAGATATACTATTATATGAATATCAGAACGAAATATCTGACTTGACTCTGGAACTTTTTTCTCTATAAAATAAGAAGAAAAATATATAACATAGTATGTCGTAATCAAAACTACAACCAAAAACAAAACTAACGAAGAAAAATAATAAATTCATTACTTGGCGAGTTTTTTCTTAAGAAAAGAATAGAATTCTTTTATTGTTGTTATTATTCCACTAAATAAAGATATATCTATTTTCCTAATGACTTTCCAACTTCTTATATATATTCATTTCTTCATTCATTTATCTATCCATCTATCTATTCCCTCTCCAACCCATCTCAATCCAAATATAAATATAAATAAACAAAAACAAATCTAATTCTCCATCTCCATCTCCATCTCCATCCCACTCCAGTCCACCACCCAATTTCCAAGCACCTATCTGCAAACCTACCTCCTCGGAAAACGGATAATAAATACTATCCATCCCTATATTCACCTCACAACCCATCCCATCCCATCACAAGCCAACACCCAACACCCAACACCCAGCACCCAGCATCGCGCACAGAAAAAGTGGATCCGATCACTCGTTCCAAACTCGCCACTCATTACCAGTACTCCTTTGGCAAAAAACCCGATCTTCAATCTTCAAGCCTTATAGGGGATATCGATATTGGGGATGCGGAAATCGAAATGCGATGCTGGGTGGCGAGTTGGGGGATTATATGGGAGAGGGGGAGAGGGGGAGAGGGGATGAGATGAGATGAGATGAGATGGGATAGGGAGAAAGGGGGTTGGATAGCAGGAGAGGAGAGAGTGATGCTTATACTTATATGGAATAGAGAATACTCGTAGAGAATAGCGAGGAAGGCAATATTAGAAATTGAATAATAATCGATATAACAAAATAAATAAAATAGTAAGTATCTAGATAAATCACCAACTATCTAATCTCAATAACCTTACTGCATATAAAATACCGTAGAGGAGAAATGGGGGTTCGAATGATGATTAGATATATCCGTTTCCGAAATCCGCGTGTTGTCCCGATTCCCGATTCCCGATTCCCGATTCCCGATTCCCGATTCCCGATTTTCTTTTTCTATCACATCTTCCATTTTCATCTCCATTTCCATGTCCATTCTCCGTCCGGATGGTTCCATAGAAAGAAAGAAAGAAAGAAAGAAAGAAAGAAGAATTACATTACTAATTTACAATACCTTCCACCCCATAATATAACATGACATGACAAACCCACCATTATATTCCATGACAAAGCACCCAAGCATCTCTCACCTCAACTCTCAGAAAAGAAACCCTCCGTCCCGTCTCCACCCTCCCTAAAACCCCCCAAAAACGCCATGCGGAGAATCCCAAAATCCAAGACGCTGGCCAGCCAGCCCGTCATGAAAAGAAAAAGCGAAAAACTAAAAAAGCGAAGGAAAAAAAAAAATAAATAATAATAATAATAATAATAATAATGAAATAATTGGGTTCGTTCTCTATCTACTACCTACTACCTACCACCTACTACCTAGTAAAATACCCAAGTAATAAGTCATAGAATATTTCCGATGTCCGAGCCCGCCTGCCTGCCCGCCCCATTTCCCATGCGCCTGGGAAATTGTATGGTGCAGGGATAGGGAGGTATCGCCGTACACTGTACTGTAGGTTTTAGGTATGTATTATGTATTATAGTTTATCGCGTAAGGATTGAGATGCATGGAATGGGATTGGAGTGAGGGATAGGCTGATGGGATGTGATAAGCAGGAGAGTAAACAAGCAAACAAGCAAGCAAGCAAGCACATGTATGGATGGTTACTGGGTAGGGCGAAGAGATTTTTATGTTATTTTATTTTAGGGAGGGGTGTATCGGTGCGGTGTGGATGGGATGGGATGGGATTAGATGGGAAATTTGGATAAGGAGACTATGGAGATTTTGAGGAGGGGTAAGGGAGGATTGTAGAGGGAGGGAGGGGAGGGAGGTGAGGATTGATCTGATAGATAGATGCATCTTGGTGGTTGATTGTGAAGATTGATCTGTCTGTATAGTATTTAACGATTGGTGATAATCATTATAGATATAGAATTTTGATTCGGTAGAGAACTTTGGTAAGGGGAAAAAGAAGAAGAAAAAGAAGGAGAAGCTTAAAAGAAGTTTGAAAGTACAGTTTAAGGTTATGTATGTATGTATGTATGTATGTATGTATGTATGTATGTATGTATGTATGTATGTATGTATATATGTATATATGTATGTACGTACTCTGTATGTATGTATCTTACATTGTACACCGTACACCCACCATACCATACACCGTATGAAAGAAAGGGCGAATCCTTCCTTTCCTCTTCCTGCTTACAAATCATGATTCGTGACGCAAGGACGGAGGTAAATCCGTGATGGTTATGTGGTGCCGATGGGATACAGGAGGTGGATAGGCGCTTAGAAGCTCTTTCGATAGTCGGTGGAACTCGGTGGAGTGATTTCTCGAAAGATGCCTAGGTAAAGGTGTGGACGGACTCCATAATGGATGAAAAATCCATCGTGCGATTCTCGAACCAGAAGGGTGAGAGTATCGGTCTGACACGATGGAAATACTAGGTAGCTAGCTACCCAGTCGTTCGTGTGCTGGTTGTCGTGATACGTCACATGTGTTGATCAAATGTTCGGGAGAACCGCGATGAAAGTTATCTACTTCACTCACTCGGCTTCGGAGCTTCTCGTTCAATCCGCGAACTGGTCGCGTGAGGTTTGTACAGATACAGATACAGACGACCTAGTACGTACCGTATCGGCATATGAGATTTCACGATTTGCATTCGAGATAAGGAATTGAAGATTTGATAACTAGATGATCGATAAGACAATTATTAGTGAGTTCGAGTTATCGCTGATTCTCCGTCCCGAGTGGGATTTTATGCAATTCGAGGTGGCATTGCATCAAGTCAACGTTTTGGTGAGGGTGCGATGTTGTGAATGATGGAATTGATTGGATTCGACATCTACCGAAGTTTCCGGAGCTTACAGTCATTGTACAGTAACTTTGAGGCTATTAAACCACAAGCACGACAAGCACGGCAAGGCGTATTTATTATGTACCAAGTGATATACCAAGGAAAGTGTAGCTCGTTCATTGCGCTGCGCCCACTGATGAAAGAGGCACTGTTGTAAGTTGTAAATTATGGGTTGTAAGTTGTCGGGCATCATCAAATCAATTACACCAGGACCACTATTGTTCTTGTCAAGACTTCAGGTTAAGACTTCCGAGGTCTTGTTGATATTAATTATTCTCACCTGCCTTGCAGCTTGCCACACTTGGTGAGCGATACGACATTTAGATAGTGAGGCGTATTGAGCTTTGATATCGATAACGACTCATGAGTAATTAAAAAGATAGTGAAACATGACGATTTTTGCTGAGAT